ACAGACGTTCGAATGCTTGCTTTTACTCCTGTTTTCCTCTGATGTCAGAGAGTCCAGCTGTAGGGAGTTTGGAGGCTGAGGAAGCTTTTGGGGACCTGCAGCAGTGTCTCTTTTAATTGGAAATGACAATTCAGAATAAACGGTGTATTTTCGAAATAGGCTGGAATAAAGAACGTCAGGAAAAAGTATAAACATTCCATATTACGGCACTATTGCCGTGCATAGTTTGGCAGTTCAATGCATATAATACAGACAACTGGGGGCAACTCGGCCGTTTTAGCTGCTACCATACAAACTAATTTCCAGTAATTGTGCAGCTTCTAAGAAATATGCCTGCATACGTGTATAAACTATATAATTAATTTGCGAAGAAGCTACATTTATGTAACACAACCCTGTTCCACGAGCACTTTCAAGATCATGAGACGCACGGCCTTTAAAACATCTGCGAACCAGCGCACGCAGAGTGGCAGCGCAGAGTCAGGGTCGCGAGCTACTTTGCCGACCACCCAAAGGCCCATGATATAAATGCCACTTCAAATGCCTTGAAAGCGGTATCTAATATCGTCTTAAATCATGAACGTGCAAGGAACAGAATTCCAGCGTCTGAAACGCTTGCACCACCGCTTCACCGACCCCTCGCAAGATTGCCTTGTTTCGTGTGGACGGACGGGGAGGTTCATCGGCGGAATTGCCTCCGCCGAAAGCTTTCGGGATTTGTAGCCCAATTTTTAAGGTAAAAGGAACAAGCAGGCTTATAAAATGTATGGAAGCACGTCAATACCGGCCTAACTCAACGTCTTGCACACCAGGTAAACGAAGTCCCGCTCCTCGAAGAGCTTGCGGCACACAAGTTACAACGCCAATTCAGGAAACCTGTGCTGGGAGGCGAGCCGATGCGAGATCGCGGAGCGGAGTAATCCCCCTGACGTCACAGTACACCTCACCCAATCCGGGCGCGGCGACCGCAGCGACGCTTGTGCTCGCTCTCGGGGCTAATAAACTCCAAGCTACATCTGAACTCGTATCGAGCCGGGCCCTCGTCATATGCTCGTAGAGCCATCCACGGGATACCGCCATACGAAGTGGACGGCCAGCTGTGTGAGACCGTGGAGCTCGAGCAGGGAAAGCTACTCGCGGTACGAAGACTCGGATCCTTGAATACACTACTACTCACTGTTGACTCCCCCACACTCCCCCGATACACATTCGTCAATCGAGTGGCATACAGAATCGACCTCCAAAAGGCCGAAGGCATTTCAGTGTACTATGTCCTGCTCGGACACTGTATTGACGACTGCCCTAACAAATCCCTCTACACCCCCTGTGTAACTTGCGGTCAACATTTCCATCCTGACACAGACCCTGCTCGAATGGATCACTCCTGCAACCAACAAATTCCAAGTACAAGGCACCCTAACTAAACACCCAGTGATCTGCACCAGCTTCTGAAAGCTGGTACAGCGAACGTCAAACCCACTTGCGGAAAACCAGGCAGGAACAGGCCGGAACGCAAGGAGCAGTGGCCACCAAGTGCATGGCAAAACAATGGGAGGCAAGACCGGAAGTGCATTCCTGCATGGATGGAGAGAAGACGGAAGAACTGATTTCCTCCACGCAGGAAATGATGTAGTAAGTAAATGGAGCCGTTTCTCCTCCGGCTTGGCTATGTCCCCATGCGGGGATCTAGACCCTCAATATTATTTCAGAGTATTATCTACTACATCAGAAGTGACTAATGCAGATCACATACTTTGCATCTTGCTAAAATGTAAATATAAGTCGACATACATTGAAAATTAAATGTTACCGAAATCGGTGTGAATTTTCAGGTGATAGAGAGCCATGCTTATTTTGTCGTTTTTGATGCTCATTTTAAAAATGCCAGCTCATGGCGTTAATAATGCAAACAATAAAATAAGCCGTGATTAGACACTAAATTTTTTAAGCCTTGGGGACATTTTTGCAGCCCAAATGTAACTTCTTTCTGTTTTAGACCAACATACTCCTACGACCAGAAAGAAAACAAATGTGATGTATGCTGATCACCACTGGTATACCAGGGTAACTAATTTAGCTGACGTTCGTAGTCTCGCATGTGAAAATATAATGCAGCTGGGCTATCATAATTGTTGGTATAGAAATTTATCAGAAGTAAACAAACATCTCCCGAGAAAAAAAAAAAAAAAAGCTAGTAATATGTCGCGTTCGAATCCTGATGAACATACTTGGGCCAGTATAACAGAAATATAAATTTTTAATTAATCGTTTTCTTGCGTAATGAAAGTAAAATATTGAGATTAGATAAGGCCCGCAGGACGCACTCGGTCCCATACCTTTGCCTGCATTGCCACAGAACGCTGACCCCGAGTTTAGACTCTTTCATCTAACCTTTGATGTTCTTTTTTGTGAGCCAGCACCCAGACCTCGAATTTAGTCCCCGGTGCCCTCCTCAACCCCACCCCTTGTTTTACGTCGAACAAATCGCGTTTGTTCTCGTTAGTGCCATGCCTTGAAACAATATTTATGAAAGAAGTCAGAATATAGGCTAGCTAAACGTGAAAATAGGATTGAATCTACTTTTAAAGAGACGGGCAAGTGTCGAAGGCATTCTTTCAACGACAGACCATACACGCGCGCGGGATGGCCTTGCACCAAATGAAACGAAATACAAACCGCCATAGACAATTCTGACAACTTGAACCCAGCACTAGCTGCACCATAAGCGTAAATTGGGGTGTAAATAGATGGAGCTACACCAGCTACACGGCGAACGTGCTGCTGCTGAGAATCGAACGCCAAATCTACAGGCCACTGGCAGCGCAAGGTGGCTTGCCCGCTAGATCTGACGGTCGTTAGCTAGGAGAGGTTCACTTTGTTGTTTTGTATTAATTTCAACAAGAAGGTCACCCAATGCCATCTTTTTCGCATTAAAATTCATTCCAATAATACCTTTAAGAACTTTTGATGCGAGGAAAGGGGATAACATTGTAAGTGGCTTTTCGTCTTCCGAGTGTAATACAAGGAACTTTGGGAATTTTAGGAATTCAATATGCTTTGCGGGATGGTCTTTTGCTTCTGTGCGGACCCTTTTAAGGGCCCGAACAGTACGGTTTTGCCTGGAACCCATAAAGACGGGAGGAAAGTTCAGTGCCTGGGGGCACCGCCCACCACGGAGCTAAACAAGGGGGTAGGTAATGTGCCACAGCAAGAAGGGCTTGGCTGACACAATTACGCTACAAGAACTGCCCGGGCACTATACCCTAGTGTGGTTGCAGGGACAGGTCCTGTTTCTACTGAAGGTTGGCGCTTGCCGCCCAAGAAAATGGAAAAAGAAGAGAGTGTAGAAGAAAAGAAAAAGAGGTGGGAGGAAAAGTGAAAGAAGGAAGAAGAGAGTAGAATAGGCGACTGACTGAATCATCCTGGTCGGGTCAAACCAGGACACCCGTCTACGAGAAGCAGAGGCCGAAGCGGTGTATTGCCTCGCCCAGGGCGCCCCCAAGGGTCCAAACATACCCCGGGCTCAGCTCAACTACCAGGGTCCCCTTTTCCCCGGACACGGGTTAAGCCACGCACAGCCAGACGTGGGTGGGCGAACCCACATGGCTCGGGGCTCGTAGTGACGCCACTCACCAAGCACCTATTAAAGTAGGTGCCCCCTGCGTGCGGGTATGGTGGCCCACGTGGCTGGGGTTGTGGTGACGCTACTCACCAAGAACCTAAGGTGTAGGCACCCCCTGCGGGGCTCGGAGTACGTGGAGACGCCACTCTCCAAACAACCTTGAGACAGAAAGCAACAGAGTGGTCACACTGAGAGACCTTTCTAACCTTGCAGCCAAAAAGAAGCAAGCGTGTTCAAGAAATTACCTAGAAGCAAGTGTCAAAATGCTCCAACAGAAGTACAAGACGACAGTTCGATTGCTAACGGATGAGAACAATGTGATATTCTTTCAAGATGATGCCATGAAAAGATCTTTCGAGGACTACCCTGAAATAATGTTTATTGACGCAACACACAAGTTGCTAGAAACAAGGATGTCATGTTTTCTTATGCTCGTGGGAGATGGAAATGGTGAAAGCAAAATTGCTTCAGTTTATCAGTTCGCGACTGAAGATGGTGACACTTTGCAATAGTTTTTTAATGTGTTTAAAGAACTGAACAAGAGTTGGGACTCCGTGAAGTTCACCAAGGCCGACAAGGACCTCAAGGAAAGGCAGATTGTAACTGAGCTTCTTTCGCAGTCTTCCTTGCACATCTGTGCTCTCCATACCCTGCAGACATTCCGACGAGAAATTAGCATACAAAAGCTCGGAATAACAAGGCCAGCTCAAGAAATGGCACTTGATATACTTCAGCGAATGGTGTATGCAAAAGGTGAAGATCAATACCAACGGCTGTACGAAACCCTAAAGTCCTCGTCGTCGAAGGCATTCCCTGCTGGAAAAAAGAGCTAAAATCTCATTCATTTTTGCACCAAAACCAATGTGCATGAATGAGCAACCCGATGAAACTTGAATGTGAAATTACCCTAGAAACCCACAAGCTGAATATAGAAAATGAGACAAAATGGATATGTATTTCGGTGCGAAAATGAATGTGCCCGAATGAGCAAAATAGGCAGACTGCCATGAGCGGTTATGTGCTTTGTAAGGAGGATTCAATCGTTTTGAATAAGAATGCAGGATAGAAACGAATAAGCATCAATGAGCTGAAGAAGTGAAAATCCAGCAGCAGTAATGTGAAATTTTAAGGGATTTGTATGTTATGCTCATTGAATTTTTAATATTATTTCAATGGCAGAAAATATCGCGGGAAAGGTCTACTGTAGCTGCTTTTAATGCGGCAAGCACACTAAAAAACAGCTACAGCAAACCTACCTTGCGGCGAAGTGAGAGACACTCCAGTGTTGAAACACAAATTTTACTTTTCTGAAATAATACATGTGGAAACATAGGAAGCGTCGTCCTTGACAAGCATAGTTCCAGAGACACTTGGTCCGTTATTCTTGGTCAGTACCTTGCGCATGCCGCACGTCACGGCCCAGGTCACGTACGGCGCTGTTTATGTGTGTGGTCATTGCTGCCATCCGCTCAGCCAACACATCGCCACTGGCGCCATGTTCACGTAGCCAGTCCTCATAGCATGCTGGAAAAAAAAATGCAACTATTAAACTCTGCATAATTTTGACAGAGAAATTTGTAATATTTAAAACAACCTAAGTGTGGGGTAATTTTAATCTTGCAGTATGCAGATATCTTTTTATCTTTTATATAAATAAAAAAAATGAGATACGTCTATCCTTTAGTTTATATTTGTGGGCATGACGGACATAGACGGCTGGATAACTGTCAGAATATGTCGACAAATTACAAATATATGGCAATTAACTTTTTATTTAGTGGTTTAATGAGGCATGTTGCAATCAGGCACGTAGCCAGGATTTTGTTTTGGGGGGGGGGGGGGGGGGGGGGGGGGGCGCCCATGACAAATTGATGCATGAGGGGGAGGGGGGAGAGGAGGGTCCCAACAAAATGTAAGATTTCGGGGGGGGGGGGGGGGGGGGGGGGGGGGGTGGCGGGCCTCATGGGGGCCCCCCAAAATAGCCATTATTACAGGCTAACCCAATTTCAACTATTCGTAAAAATTTGTCGCTTTGAAACGTTCATTGTTAAAATTTTCTTTTTCATTGCCTAACTCAAGAACTGCGCACCAAAAAGAATCTGGGAAGTTTTGCCAATAATGGTCCATAGAAAAGTGACAGTTGTTTTAGTCATCTCGTCAGTATCTGTACAGCATATCCTCGGTAGTTGCTCCACAGTCAACCACCAATTGCAACATGCCCATTAAACCATTTTTTAACAGGTTTTGGTTAGTTAGTCAATACAGGTGATGGTTATCCACCCATGTAAAAATTATGGAAGAAAAAATGCCCTGCATATTTAAAAGATGCCTAGTTAAATGCATGCAACTTTTACCGAAAAAAATCTAGTGCACTACTGTGAAATATAATATGCCAAACAGGTAAAAATAAATGTTCAAAAGGTTCGATACGCTGCACATTATTTCGTGTAGTATTTTTTTTAGTAACATCTCCAAAATCTCCATTTGTTGGTTATATTAATCTGTTGCTTCTTCTTCACCTTGTAGTCAGGTCATGAGAAATATGGCGGCCCTGTTGAATGTAATCAGTTAGTGATAAAACGGAGTAAACACGGAAAGTGCCGTAAACTACAAGCTACTCACCTTCTAGCACATTAAGTTTTGTTGGAGTCAGTGGTGGCTTCGCAGCACCTCCATCATTTATCAAACGGTTAGACACCTTGCCACTCGTAGATCGATTTTTCAAAATATTGCGTCCCCATATGGCAGTAGCCAGACTCCTCACAAACTTGGACTCTTTTTTTTGTCGCTGACAGGCGACCCATTGGTCCAAACTAAGGGTAACACTGTCATTTACACAGACCTGCAAATGAAGCAGAGCAATGGATATAAATAAAAACAATAAAGGCTTCATTTGTAATCCTACGAAGCTGTTGGAAATGACAGCAAGTACACAAACTTCAAATTAACCGACAGTTCAAGCCAGCTTTATTTCATGACCACAATCTTAAAACATTGATCGGCCATTTTCTAATTGCAGATTTTAAGAGCAGATATAAATCTAGCTTGTGGCTTCTTTATAATTTTGTCCTTTCCAGTACTTTGTCAAAATATTAAAAAAACTAAAACGGCAACCACAGGCTATAAAAAATTTGCTGCATCAGCTTACCGTTCTTCCGTCAGTTCTGAGTTTAGCCTTCTTCACGATATCATGCTTGGTGTTTGCATTTATTGAGCATCCTTGACGGCGCAAAAAAAAGAAAAAAAAAAAAACTAAGTTAAACATTTTAAATCACCATGGTTGTCTTAGGCTTTTTTTTTTTTTTTGTAAAATTCATGCTTCAGAAGGAAAGAGATACGCACCTGCTCCAGTGCTCTCGAGCTTTGATTTGATGCTGTTTACACCCTCAAGAATCACATCCAGAATGTCTGTGTTTTTGGCCTCTCTTGTACGCATCTTTTCAACGTCTTCCTTAAGTTCCCTTGTAGTTCTTTTTAGGGCAAGATACTTCTGATGGAGATCGTCGTACAACTTTTTGGGAACAACAGCACCATCATCCCCACTGTCTGTATCACTGTGGCTTTCGTACCTGGCATGCTTGGCACTCCGAGCCTCTGGGAAAAGTGGGTTCTTGCGCTTCTGAGACAACTTTTCTGAAATTATTTGCTTCATCTTTGCTGTTGCTTCTCTTGTACGATTCAATTTCTGCTGAGCCTGCACTATTACAAGCACCATCTAGGGAAAGCTCCAGCATCTTTTGATTTCATTGGCGGTCACATTTTCATGGACACTCTTGTCAAAATAATAATTGTAATTTACACCAACATTTCTTTGCTCTGCCAAAGAAAAATTTAGTATATAATTGCAATAAGGATTTCTTCCAATACAATTTATGTTTTCAATCACAGCAAATTATATAGAAAATTAGTAATTTTTGTGTAAAACTCAATTATGCAGTTTCTTAAATGAAATTTTAGAAAGAAAATCAGGTGACGGATTGTCTGGGTGCTATTCTCACTGCATTACTGCACTCGGCTTATCAAGCCTTTGAGAAACATCACTAGTATGTTGACTAATTAACGAAAATCTGTAAATTAACTGTTTGGGGCTATGTTGCAATTGTAGTTAAGCAAACCATTGTTAGGGTACTATCGAATTGAAACAATCTGCAAAAGGGCAACAAGCTTTTAGATATTCAGAGCTGAAATTACGCCTTTTGTGTCCTGGTTAAAAAACTGCATACTGGAAGGAGCGCGTTATGTTGCGCTCACATAGTCGTTTTGGTCTGGCTTGCGGGTTTTCAGTCAAGCCATGAAAGGCAAAATTTATAGACGCTTTCAGCGAGTCAGTTACTCGAGCTGCCACCAGTCGGCGCGCCCTTCGCGCGCTTTCCGGGCCGCCATAGCCGACCTTCAGTTTTGCGCCGTTGCTCCGCGTTGTGTGCTGCGCAGGTCACGACCGGAGCTTCATTTTCGTGTTCTTTTACGTTGCGCGTTAAAATCTTGTAATTGCTTTAGGCCTTTTCGATATTTAGAACTTTCATTTAATCAATTGATATAGCTCTTGTATTTTCTTATTTATCGAATGGAATCGGACAGCGAATGGGTCGACGATACAAGATTATGAGGCTTCAATGACCATGTAAGTTCATCCCATTCTTGCGTTTTTGTCGCTAATAAAGGGCAGTCAACACTATTGCGACATATGTAAATCGCAACTGACGCAGTAAGGCTATGACAGTCGAGCTTCTCGCTGCATGTGCGCGCTAGTTTCCGTAAAGCCGACCCGCGATTTAGCGCGCGACGAGACGAGCGACGGAGAATTCTCACCGTCGCCCGTCGCATCGCTTGGTTTTGGGATTTCTAGAAAACGTCGCTCACCGTCTTGGTCGCTTGCTCCGTCGCTTCCATGTAGTTTGCCTCGTCGCGCGACTGACTGAGCGACAGCGAAGCGGGTCGCTTATCTGATCGCTCGCCAAATCGCTTACATGCGGCTCATACTCAATTAATTTCCATGCACACACCATTGAACCATTGGCGCCTCGATATTAAGTATAAACCGCATGCAAGCGATTCGGCGAGCAACGAGACAAGCGACAGTGACCCGCTTCGCTGTCGCTCGGGCAGTCGCGCGACGAGGCAAACAGCATGGAAGCGACGGGAGCAGACGACCAAGACGGTGAGCGAAGTTCTCTAGAAACCCGAAAAACTGAGCGATGCAACAGGCGGCAGTGAGAAATCTTCGTCGCTAACTCTCGTTGTTGTCGCCGTCGCTCGTATCGTCGCACGCTAAATCGCTTACATGCGGGTCGGCTTTACGGAAACGAGCGCGCACATGCAGCGAGAAGCAGGACTGGATAGTCAGTTGAAATTTGCATATGTCGCAATGGCGTTGACTGCCCTTCATTAGCGAGAAAAACGTTAGAATGGGATGAACTTACATGGTCTCTGAAGCCATAATCTTGTATCGTCGATCCATTCGCTGTCGGATTCCATTTAATAAATAAGAAAATACAAGACCTATGTTGAAATATAGATATCAAATGATTAAATGAAAGCCCGAAATATCGAAAAGACCTAAAGAAAACACGCGATTTCAACGCGGAACGTAAAAGAACGCGAAAACAAAGCTCCGGTAGCGGCCGGAGCAGTACACAACGCGGAGGAACGGCGAGAAACTGAAGGGCGGCTATGGCGGCAGGGTCACGTGACGTCAAGATGGCGGCGCCCATGAAATGTTGCCTGAAAGGGTCTATATCTAAAAACTTGTAGCCTTTTATAAATTGTTCAAATTCGGCAAGGCTTTAATAATAGCTCCATTTAAAAGTGCAATTGCAACACTGTCTAATAAACGGTTCTAATGTCAACCAATCACAATAATTATAAGGACAACATCCACATACATACCTATTACCTTTTCGTTTTTCTTAATAGAGAAAAAGAACAAAAATTGTTATATATTGTTTTACACTAGACAAGATGTATCAGTCATATTTAACCTCATTTCTCTGAATATTACAGAAAATTTGTAATCTTCCAAGGTGTGCTTTAAAACTATATGGGGGAATAAATAATGAACTACAGTACCAAAAAACCGAACAGACTAAATGGAAAAACAATATAATTTTAATTTCAACCAGAAACCAGCTAAAATCAGTTTTTTTTGTGAAGTATCAATTTTCATACTTTAATCTGTATTTACCTGTTAAGGCCATTGTTTTATTCAGTTACCACTTGTAGTGACATTTAGTCTTTTATTTCATAGTGTAAATAATTTTTCGTGGCAACACAGCTCATTTGTACATATTATGTGAAGGCACCGGAGGGGTTCTATGATAGTTCTAAAAGGATAAGCAGCAACAAAATGCTTGCCATTTCGACCCGAAGAGCTGCTTGGTCGTCTTCCGAACTGCTGTGCTCAACAACCTGGTCAAGGACTTTAGGTAGAGGGATCCTCTTGCCCCTTTTGATCCTCTCCTCGATCGACGACTTTGAGTCTGCAAAGTGGTACACACAATAACATATAGGGCAAGTCTCCTCTGGTGTGCTGCTGTGAGGAACTGCATTGATATATATCACCTGCCAAAAGTAGTATTTGGGCTTTAAAACAGCCCGGCTCCCCTCCGTCTGGAGTCAACAAAGCATCATAGAGGTGACCCTTCTTGTAGTCATCCTCACTTCTCGGTTCAAAGTTTTTAATTGCAGATGTACTGATGATAGTCTTAGGTCGTGCTGTTCCAGTAAAATATTGCACATATGCGAAATTCATCTCTGTAAGAAAAGAATACAATCGAATTTAATGTGAAGTAATCGCATTATGTTCAAACAATTCCAACCGTCACATCCGCATGTGGTGGAGAAAATGTGGCTGATCAGCGAGGTAATTTATTACACAAACAAAGCACCAAGGCAAGACGAGACTACACCAATTCCCGATTAATATTTTTATATTAATTATACGCCTTAATCAACCGTGACAGCGTGTGGTCTAGAGAAGCTCGTTCTAACGAATGCAGTTTTAGCGAAAACAGCTTCTTCGAGCTGCCTCGAAAGTCGAAACTCGGTTTCGAGAAGATGGCAACCCCCGGCATGCTGCTTCCGATGTTTCTCTGATTCATCAGCCTAGCTTGCCGAGTACTCAGCGATGAACCCTTGTAGGTGCGTGCTCGAACTTGAGATTAACATTCCTTCGAGCGACAGCGAGCGCGCGTAGCATGGTTTGCTTGCAAGTGTAGGTTCCCGCCGTGCACACATCGCATTTCTCTAAACCACACTTCGATAAAACGTACTCTTTTCGCTTTATATATAAATATGAAAGAAGAAGAAGAAGAAGAAGAAGACGAAAAAGAAGTGAGAGAAAAAAAAAAAAAAAAACGCGTGCAACGCAGTTTCGTTTTGCCGATCCAACCATGCGCCGGCGCAAACTGCTGCCTGAATCGCAGTTTCGTTTCGCCGATCCAACCATGCGCCGGCGCAAACTGCTGTTGAACTATATTTTACTGCAATAAAATCTTACCCTTTCTTCCTGTAGGAATAGATGTCCTGCGGTCTTTTCAGCAACTGAAAGCTCATACGCAGCAGGTGATGCAACCAAAACTAGCAGCTCAACTGGCTCAACCGGCTCAACTGAAACCGCGCGCCGACTCCGGCTGGCCATATGGCGAGACGGCCACCTAACACCCATGGCAAATACAGAAGAGAAGGATAACTCTAATAAAAAAAAATTAAGTTTCATTTTACAACTTAGAATTATATTTAGTTCAGGACGTTGTTATTAGCACTATAGACTGTAAAGATGGTTTTGTTTACAATGCGGTTTATGGCGCGATGGCGTGCGTTTCACGTTTTCGAAGTACCCAGGTCCCCGGGTAGCCATCCCGCCAATCCCGCTACTACAGCCACTGTACCGCTACTAATCCCGCTTCCCGCTCTTCCCGCGTCATTCTTCGCCATTATTGCTCGTCAAACAAGCACTACGCCGATTCTGCCGAAACTTCTGCATATGAAACGGCATTATGGCCAGTAAGCAGCGGCCGAAGCAATACCGACGTTACCTGGCACCTTTATCCGAAGAGAGCGTGCCGCGGTCGACGCGTGCTCGGTGGCATCAGACCGAAAAGGTAGGCTTTTATAGTCGGTGAACCGTAAGATTTTATTGACGAAATCTTTTTGTTGTCAGATTCTTGCTGAAGGCGCCCCGCGACCTTTGGAGCAGAAGTCAGCTGCGCAGTCTCACAATCGTGGAGATGTGAGTTTGTTCATTTCAAGCGTTACTTCATGCATGGTCTTTCGTTGTTAAATACCGTGTGCGTTCGCTCTCGTCTTTCTCTGTATCGAGCCACTGCTTCCAACCTCCGGCTCCTATGCTTTGCTGCAGTGCTTCTGGGCTGGGCTTTGTGAGCGAATATCGGACGAATAGGCGATGAAGCTCGCCCGACGGCGCTCGATGTGCGCGTGCGAACGCCCCGGGGCGAGCTTCGTCGCTTTTTGAACACAAATATGGCAAAACTTGCAACTTGCTTTTTGGACACAAATAGGGGAAAACTTGCACTTGTATGGGAAAACTTGCAACGAAAATCTGAAAGAAAATTCTATCATGTAAGACCCCACACGGCCCAAGACCTCAAAAGCCTTGACGATGTCAAGAACGACGACGACGACGTCTTGGAAATCGAAGACGTCTTGGGCGCCTTAGATTGAAATCTTTGGAATACGGACAAAAAATTTAAGAAAGCGCAAAATTGACGTGTGGTGCTACTCGATCGAACATATAATGTCCCTATAACCTAAACTCATACTGTGCGTGCCATTCTTTCTCATGTTCAAGCTTTCTTAATTTTTGTCAAATACTGTAAAACGTTTTTATTGTGCGGCCTTTATATTTTTTAAATCCGGCTGGGACCATCATGGTTTGCACGTGACGTCAAAGCTGCTCTTCTTGCTGGTGGTGAAAGCGTGCCGTTAATGCACTGGAAGCTGCGCCGACTCGTTTCCGCCCGCTGGTAACGCTTGTTTTTTGGTTGTAGAATTAGTACTGTAAAGGCTATGCACCACCACCAGAGAGGATCAAATTATGTTGGTGCAGGCTATTCCAGGGGTCCAAATCCAGGCCTTTAAAGGTTGGATTATTTGTGTACGGTTAAACTAAGTTCTAAATCTTTTCTAATTAGTGAAATTGTGGCTCGCGAGCAGCAATAGTTTTACAGCATCTGTTTCATGGGGTCCATCTTGTGGGGAAGGAGGATGCCCTGCAAGAGCACGTTCTTCAGAGCATGAAACATAATTTTCACGTGCCTTCCCGCTCAACTGCTGGTTTAATCTACAGGGTGAAACAAGGAGACGGCAGGCTCTTTAAATCGACCGGAAAATTCGGTTTCTTAACCTATCGCGCTACGACTTTGTGCAGCGTTGCCCACAGATGGTGGATTTTTTTTGTAAAATTTGCAAAGAGCGAACTTACCTGAGGAAGAAGTAAAGAAAGAAAAAGGCTTAGCTCCTATGGAAACGCAGCGAAGCCACCGGTCTTCAAACACGGCGCCGTTGCGCACGGGAGACAAGAGATGGCGCAAGCGGGTCGCGACGCCAACTGCCTCCAACGAACGAGCAGACGACGCCGAGAGCCGGCGTATTTAGCAGACAAGGAACTGCAGTTCCTCGTTGTTACCGCGTCTGTTTTTGTTTCTGCGACTGTCGCCGCCTGCGGAACGAGTGTTGCTTTTAATCGAAAAGATTGTCTGCTGACGCTGGCACTCGGCGCCGTATGCTCGTTCGTTGACGGCGTTCGTTGCGCCATCTCTTGTGTCCCGTGCGAAACGGCGCCGTGTTGTTTGAAGACCGGTGGCGTCGCTGAGTTTCCGTCGGAGCTAAGCCTTTTTCTTTCTTTACTTTTTCCTCAGGTAAGTTCGCTCTTTGCAAATTTTACAAAAAAAGAATGCACCATCTGTGGGCAACGCTGCACAAAGTCGTAGCGCGATAGGTTAAGAAACCGAATTTTCCGGTCGATTTAAAGAGCCTGCCGTCTCCTTGTTTCACCCTGTAGATATGAGTATGTCTGCTCCTGAGCACTGAAATGGGTCTCATGTACGGTTGGTTGGTGTGGGGTAGAGTGCTGCAGAAGCTCTACCTCCTGTAGACGCTCGTTACCTCCGAAGCGCCAAAGCACAAGTGTGCTTCGGTTACGCATTCATGCTTGTGCTATCAAGGCTAGAAAGTTTTTGCTGCCGGGGGGGGGGGGGGGGGGGCGGGGCGGGCGGGGGGCGGGCGGGGGGGGGGGGGAAGTGAAGTGGGTGGGTGGGTGGGTGGAGGTGGAGGAGGAAGAGGGGCGCAGCTTCCCGTGTGGCTTCAGCCTGTCAGCGACCATGGTGCCAAATGGCTTCCGAAGGACAGTTTGCTGCACCAGCACATGTGTTGCGCTCTGAAGGTCTTTTGCAAAATATAGTGCCTGATACTGCTCGCATTGGTGTTGATGATATGCCCAATGCTATTTGATGTGAGACAGTATATTGCCTTTTTTTTATTTGTTGCTGTAAACACTCTTTTATAGGGTCCGCCATGTTCTGGACAAGGGATTGAAGCTTGTTTGACCACTGGCCACCTAAGTGAGACAGACTGCAGTGGGCCAACTTCTCGACAGAGTGAGATTTCTTTGGCTGAAATGTCACCGGTGTTGCTCTCGGGTGAAATTCCGCAAACTGAAAGTATGTGTGAGGAGGCCGAGTCTCCGTGCAGCGCAGACAGCCTTTCGAGCTTCTCAGTTAGCTCTCCGGGGAGCTCAGAGTGCGAAGAGAAGGACATTCAGAGCGAAGGAGAGCAGCCTGGCTCTCCTACTGAACATGTTTCTGATGCACCATCAGCATTCAGCGTCAAGGGTTTTGACTTGACTACTCAAATTTGCAAATGTACAACAACGACCGTAGCGGAAGTGCTTGTTCTTCTGCTGTCATTTCTTGCAAAGCACCGGCCTACTGTGTCAGCCTTGGTTGACATCCTGCAGCTCTTCAATGTCGTGTTCCAGAAGGACATCCTGCCTAGTACAAAGTACCTGTTCAACAAAGCATTTTCCAGTCCCTCCCTCATGATGCAGTATCACATGTACTGTGAGTATTGTCTAGGATATGTTGGCATCCGAGAGCAGCTACGTTTGCAACAGTCAACATGTCCACATTGCCACCAGAAATTTTCAGTGACAACTTCACCCTACTTTCTCATGTTACCCCTTGCACCACAACTAAAGTTCATGTTGGAAAATCAACCAGGGTTGGTCCAGGAACTTCAATACAGGAATGAAAAGAAACACAAAAATATATCCTGTCTTGAAGACATCTTTGATGGCACTCTGTATCAGGAACTTTCCAAACCTGGTGGCCTCTTGTCTTTCTGTAACAATTTTTCATTTTCTTTTAACACTGATGGAGCTCCAGTGTTCAAATCTTCCCGTGCCTCTGTGTGGCCTATTCATATCATGCTAAATGAACTACCACCAGTGTCCAGGGAAAAGAATTTGCTGCTGGCAGGCTTGTGGTATGGTAAGGGGGAACCAAACATGGATATGTTTCTGAAGTCGTTTGTCGATGATGCAAAGCATCTGGCTACAATAGGAGTTACATGGAAGCATGTTGATGGTACCCTTATTAATAGTAAATTCGTTGCAACCTGTTGCTGCGTAGACAGCGTTGCTCGTCCTGCGATGCAAAAGTTAATGCAGTTCAATGGCTATTATTCTTGTGGGTGGTGTTACCACCCTGGTGAGAACGTAGGTAATGTTGTCAAGTACCCTGTAGGCCCAGAATGCTACCCCGACAGGACTAATGAGACAATGGAAAAGGAAATGGAACAAGCATTTGTAACGAAGACAACCATTTTTGGTGTCAAGGGCCCGTCTGCATTGATAAACATGCCAAAGTTTGGGATAGTATCTGGGTTCGTACCAGACTACATGCATGCTGTCCTTCTTGGGGTGGTACGGCAACTAGCAGAGCTATGGTTCTCGTCTGTTGGTGAAAAGTTTTATATTGGAGAGCCCTCGACTGTAGCTAAAATTAACAAGAGATTAGAAAGGATGTTTCCCCCCAAAACTGTTTCTCGACTGCCAAGGCCCATTTCTGAGCGACGGTTCTGGAAGGCGTCGGAGTGGAAATGCTGGTTGTTGTACTATGCTTTTCCTTGCCTGGATGGCATTCTTCCAAGAAAATATCTTAAACATTTTGCTTTGCTTTCACAGAGTGTGTATGCTCTGCTCAAGGACTCTGTGACGCATACAGATGTGAATAATGCCGACCTTATGTTGACCGAGTTTGTTTGTGGGATGCAAGAGTTGTACACGAAAACGTCAATGACATATAACGTCCATCTTCTCACTCATCTGCCGAAAAGCGTAAAAGAGTGGGGCCCGTTATGGGCCCATTCTGCTTTTGCATATGAATCTGCAAACGGCTTTCTTTTAAAATTAGCAAAAGGGACACGAAAAGTACCTCTGCAAATAGCCAAGAGTTATCTTTTGTACCGCTCTGTGTACTACTTCGTTAAATGCTACATCAGGCAACAAACAGTGCAAGAGTTTTGTGAGGGCTTGCTTGGGTCAAAGCGCTTAGTGCATACAAATGAGGTGGAGAAATGCCACCTTATTGGCAAAGGCTTAAAACATGCAAGTAGCCACAATTTTTTTGGTAGCTCTGTTGTTTTACCTGGCAGTGTCTGTACTGTGTATAAAAGGGTGATTGCAGGAGGTGAGTTGTTGCACTCTAAAGAATATGGTAAATGCAAGCGTCGCAATAATTCCTTTGTACAATTGAAAAACGGGTTGTGTGGAGAAATATTGAAAATCTGTGTATACAAGGAAAATGGTGTTTACCGTTGTGTGCTACTTCTTGAAGAGTATGTCTCGTCAAGAACGCTTCATGTGACCCATGTAAATGAGTATTATTCTAAGCAGAATGTGAGGATTGTCTCAGCAGACAATGTCTTGTCAAAATTTGTTGTCATGCGGTCAGGCAACAGGTTATTTGCCAGCCTTTTGCCCAACTATTATGAAAAGGAGTAACCATCATGTCATGTTAGTAGGTATGTTTGATTTGCCTACACCACCTGCACTGGTACTCTCAGTGTATGTACATCACTGTATCCTACTTGTTGGTGCAGACTATCTTGAGGACTCTTTAGGGGCTTGTTGTGTTTGGTCTCCAGGATCGAAATATTGTAACAAAAGGACGAGGACAGAACCACTTGTGGTGTCTGTCCTTGTTCCATTATGTGAAATGCCTTTAATCCTGGACAATGCATACCGTAATTACATTGCCCTGCACTGTACACTTTCTGCACCATGCAGGTGGGTGCAGCTAAATCAAGCATACCTACTGACATTAGCAGGGTGTCTACCAACCTAAAAAAGCTATAATTGCAAAGGAACTTTTGAGCTTCTGAAAAAGTCAGGGAAATCATGAAAAACTTAGCTAAATCTGAGAAAATGATCACTGACTTAACAGAGCCATCTATGTAGCATTTTGTTTAGAGGGAAACAGCCATATGGTTTTGGCGTCAGCCTTTCTTGGCATGTGCGTCCCTCCTGCCGCACGGAACTACAAGTGTAGCTAGTTCTGAAGTTTCACATGTAAAAGAAAACCTAGAAAAGTCTGCGAATTTGACATGTAATAGTTTGGTAGACACCATGATTAAGCAATAATGTAGGGATAATTGCTCTTTGGGAGAAGTCTGTTTTCATAAAGATGAAGGTGACTAGGGCTGTATTAAACAAGAACACGTACAATGGGTTACTGTATGCAAAATGCTTTACTTTTGTACTGTGAAAGGTTGCAGCTTCCAGTTAAAATAAAGCATTGTATTTGAAAGAGCAGTTGTGATATTCTTGTGTACCAGTACCTACTACTGCTTTACAGGCTGCTGCAAGTTTGTTCTCTGCATGAAAATCTGAATGTTCATACGACTGGGACTTCAGTTCTACTCGGGGCACTATAAAAAAAAAAAAAAAATCTTGTGCCATACGAAAGCCAATTATACCAATTATTTTCAGGTTGGCATAATAGTGAGCATAGATAGTTGTGCGACTGGGGGAGGGAACCCTCTGGTGCGGCCTTGGCATGGTAATTGAGCTTGTATTTAGTATATAACAAGTCGGTGATAATACGTCAAGGTATGGACACTAATGAGCAAACTATTAGTCCTAATAAGTGCTTGCCGACTCTAGAGATTGACTTCACTTGTCAACGCCTTCACGCTGCAGCTTCCCTGTAGTGTTTAGAGTGGCAGTAATAAGCGAACGAGGCATCACGCAGATTGGTGCTAATGGTCTTCATAGACTCTGCCAGCTATCATCTACAAACTTGGCTTTGGAAGTTGGTTGCCCCGGATTGCAGCTTCCCTGTAGTGTTTCTACAAGCACCAATGAGAAAATGGTGAGATTGCTTGAGATCTCCCTAAAGTTGGCTTCACCTGCTTTATGAAGTAACCCTTCCCCCGGATTTTGTCTTTCCTGCAATGTATCCCATGGCCCGAATGAGAAAATGTCTTTTTAACCACATTGGTGCTATCGGCGCCAATGTGCTCATAGGAGCACATTGGTGCTCATAGAAACTTGCCCGAGTTCTTTCCCCAAGGTTGGCTTCACCTCAATCAGAAAACTGCCCCTTTTCTAAGATTGTGGCTTCCCTGCAGTCTTCCTATGTGCACCAATGAGAAAACTCTTGGTTTTGCACATTCGTGTTACACTGCACATTGGCACACATTAATTCTGACTACTCCCTCAATGTGAATGTGCGCCTCATTTCCAGCAGGGTTGCTAGACTACTTCAAGAACTGGCATGGCATCCACCACGAATGGATAATGGGTAGTAAGTGGTCGTGCGGTAACTACCTCAACTCAACAAATAACGGTGCCGAAAGTAGCAACGCCAAGTTGAAGAGCATCGTTGAGCGATAAAGCTCATTGTAAGACTTTGTAACCAAGTTTTTCTGTTTCGTACACAGAACAAGGAAGGAGCGGATGCACAAGGCAGCAACATTCTTTCTCAAGAGACGAGTCATAACAAACGGTGATAAAGACCTGGAACTGTACTGCCAGTTGTTGACTGCATACGCATTCAAGCATGTGGAACGGCACCTTCACCTTTCCAGCAGCCCCTGCATACACAGATGATGTAATGTCTGCCACTGATTGTAGGTCTGGTTTCCGGAGGGCAATGCTCCTGCCCTGCTGCCACATGCTCACTGCACGAAGCCAGCTCGGGTTGAGCAAATTTGACCGTAGTCTCTGTACAGCGGTGGACTGCAGAACACTACAAGAAGAGCCGAGGGGTGCTGCTTGCTGCGGGACAAGAGCCGGAACCCCTTATCGTTGACAGGCAGGACCATCAAGTAATTTTGTCAAGCCATCAAAAGTAGACGACTTGCTCTCCACGTTGGACGAAGTCGGGGGGGAACGAGAGCTGATGGGCGTATTTTGGCGGGTATACAAACGCACGAGCTGCGTAAAGAACAGACAGCAACGAAGGCTGCGTGAGCGATCGCGGCCCCTCCAATGACGTGCGGGTGTCGCATGACCTTCGGGAAAGCAGCAGCGACGCGTGCGGCACAGGGTCAGTCGGTAAGTTCACAGTTGTGTCTGGCTGGGATGGCCTGTAGCATCCGCTGCGCATCACCGTGACATGAAACGGACTATATTCTGTTTCATACTTAGCGTGCAACGCTGTCAAAGCTACTGGCGCGAGCATGGGGCTTGATCTCGTTAATCATTTGCACGCGTTCTCGCGCAAACAAAACCCTAGATGAAGTCACGCGCTCGCGCCAGTATAGCTTCGACAGCATTGCACGCTAAGTATGAAACAGAGTATACACATCGGCTGAATTGCTTACCGACAGCGCCAACCAGCGTCGCCATACCTCAAGTCGTCCGAAATGTCCGAACAAGAACTCCCGATTTGCCATTTGTTTTTAGAATGAAAAGAAAAGAGACTACCTTGCGGTCGGCCCAAGGACTTGCTCTGCTCGATACAGCGGCGTCTCGTAGTCGAAGGATCCCTCGAGGCACTGGCAGAACACGGAAACTTGCCCTGCTGCAGTGTAACAAAGAAACTAACTGGACGCGCATTTCCCTCGTGCAGCGCAGCAAATAGGGACCACAAACAAAAGCTTGGCGCCGCGGATTGGGCTTGGCTTGGCGCAGGAACGAACTTGATATCTCTCAGAAATCCACTTCTATGGTTTCTATGTTTTATAGAAGGCACGTTTTTGCGAAATGTTAAATACTGCAAAAGTGGCGTTATGTTAACAATAAATTTTCAAACTGTTAATTTTGCGTCTACAGCACTGTGCTGATTGCGTGTTGTGGCGCTATCGTCGTTCTGTGCCCGTCCGTGCCCGGTTAGAAACGAAACCAAAACTACTAATTGGTAGCGTGTCGTCAACGGCGCGTGCTGCAATCACCTCACTGCCTCCGGTAACTGCCATCTGCTATGTCACCATTCTGGGAAACATTTGTCAACAAAGATTTGCAGTCTGATTCAAAGCGATGGCAAGCCACGTCGCTTCAGCGAAACTAAACATAATGTCAGTCGGCGTACACCGCTCTGCACCGATCTTTGTGGGTGTTATGGACTTCAACAAACTTTGAGGAGGGCCAGCACCAAGATTAGAGCTAATAAGGGAATGTGCTTAGCTGGTTGGTTCTGATACATCTTGGGTGAAACCAGCTGAACAAAGGAAAAGGATGACAGGAAAAAGTAAAACCAGCGGTCGGTTCGCCATTTTTTTTTTCTGTCATCCTCCTTTCTTTTTTCAGCTGGTTTCACCCAAGATTAAGGGACGATACAGACAGGACTAGGTTAGCATCGGGCTTTCACAATGCCACGTTCCTTTTCCCCCTTCATATGGCCAATAGCTGCCACCTCGTCGTCCTTTATCCCTACCATTGGTGAAAACAAAGTCACGAGAAGAGAAGTATATTTTGTGTATCGCATGCACACGTAGGTCAATTTACGGTACGCAGCGCTGAAGGGCGTGGTGGAGGTCCGCGGTGTCCGCTTGCGTCTGGCCGCGGTCCGATGGACGAAACCGAAACTAAAATCTTCGTTGACAAATGTTTCCCAGAATTCAACGAAGGAAAAGGAAAATAATAAAGAAAGAAAGAAAGGTTAGGAATATTGGTCCGAATGCGTCCTGAAAGTGAGCACATTTCGGTCTTCTGCGCATGGGAGAGGATGTCTGAAGGTGGGAGAGGATGTTATACTAAGCTCCGCTTCCTCGGGGAAAAGGGGGGGGAGGGAACGGATGTAAACATTTGGGCGTCGACGTGCTGTAGCAGCTGTGGCTGTAGCCGTAAGTCCTTCGCGCAATTGCTGGTAAAAAAAAAAAAAAAAATAGTTCCGCTTTTGTCTTGTGCAGGCTTGTAGAAGATACTCACCAAAAGTATTTCAGTTAAGTTACTGAGAACCACGAAAAATAGTAACTGAGTAGAGTACTAAATCCTCAAATTTGTAAAGTAATTGAGCAAAGTAAAAAAACACTCCAAAAAAGTAACTCATTACTTTCAAGATACTCTCAAGTTACAATGTTCACTGCAATTCCTTGTCAAGCACAACCGAAGTCAGAAAAAATTCTTCCTCCCAGTTACTATGGAATCTCCTGGAAATCGCTTAGCTAGACTTTGGCTGCCACTCAGGCTTCTAGGAGGTCCCAAGTAACTACAAATGAAACAAAAATAAAAATGTTTTTTTTTTTTATACTTTTGTAATGGCGAGGACATAGGCGAGGGCAGCGCGGGGCCCCTTCGCCTGCGGAGGGAGTTTCTACGCGGAGGCTCGCCTCCAACGCTCCCGTTATGTCGGGTGTTCATTTCCGCTTCCCCCGTCAGTGCACTGGCGGTGCCGTGCAGTCGGGGGTCGGGGAGTCCAGGCCAGGTAGAGTTGCTGTATAGGCTCCCTACGGGAGCCAGAGTTGCGCATTTGTTTTCCCCGCGCCGCCACGCCGCTATTCGCCGAGATCCATCACGTGAGGAGCAAAGCATCCGTTGGCGTGCAAGAAAGCCACCTTTACGGTCGCTCCGCCGACGTTCCTCTTTCCCCGGCGTATGTTTCCCTGCTTTCCGCCTCCTTTTCCTCCTCTCCTGTTTTCCATGCGCGGTGGCGCGCGCGACGCCGCTATTCGCCAAATTTAGTCACGTGAGGAGCAAAGCATCCATCTCGTGCGGGAAAGCCGGCGCTACGGCCACGCGCACGCGCCGAGGCTGAATGCGCAACTCTGCTACCGTAGGTAGCATATAGAGGAACTCTAGCCAGGGGAGAGCGGGCGCCACTGTGGTGGGCGCCGGCGGTCATTTGTGCTACCGAAAACAATAGCGAGTTTTAGTAGACCGCGTTTCCCCCTCCGCTCCCTCCGCTAAGCACCTCAATAGGGAGTTTTCGTAGATCGTTTTCGCCGTCCCGCAAGGCCCTCCGCAACCCGCTACGATAGCGGGAACTCCACAGTCAAGGCTATCGGCGCGCAAGCGCAGTAGCAACTTCTTCGTTGCGGAAAGCTTAGCGGAGGGGGCAACGCGGTTTACGAAAACTCCCTAATTACCCGGAACTCTACAGCCAAGGCCATCGGCACGCAGGCGCAGTGGCAGTTTCTTCGTAGCGGAGGATTAGCGGAGGGGGAAACACCAGGGAGTTTTCGTAGACCGCGTTTCCCCCTCCGCTAAGCCCTCCGCAACGAAGCAGCCGCTACTGCGCCGGCGCGCCGATGGCCTTGACTGTGGAGTTCCGGCTAGCGTAACTGCTTGCGGAGAGCGTTGCGGGACAGCGGAAACGATCTACGAAAACTCCCTACCGTCTCCTAAAACTCGCTAATGCTGCGTACGCC